TAATATCCTTAATTTATAGCAGATAAGTTTGAATTGATACCAACTTAGTTCCAGTAGCATACAAATCTCTGCTTCTTTATAGTCCTGTCACTCCGCTGTGTGTTGTCACAATCACATCTGTATACACCATGCATATATGGACATAGATATGCAATTATGTGTATGTCTTTTAAATGTAGGAAATTAAAAAGTTGTGTTACAAACCAAAAATAAAATAATGCTAGCTTTTGTATTTACATATATAGTTACCTTTACAGGAGATCTTTATATCTTCATATGGTTTTGAGTTACTTTCTAGTTCAACCTAAGGAGTCCATTTAGCATGTCTTGTAGGGGAAGTATACTGATAACGAACTCCCTCAGCTTTTGTTTACCTGGGAATGTCTTAATTTCTCCTTCATTTTGAAGGATAGTTTTGCCAAAAGTAGAATTCTTGTTTTTCAGTTTTCTTTTTGTTTCTACACTTTATGTCCTCTCACTGACTTCTAGTCTCAGTGTTTTCTGATGGTAAATTGGCTATTATAAATGAGGGTCTGTTTTTACATGACAAGTCACTTCTCTCTTGCTGGTTTCAAGATCTTCCCTTTATCTTTGGCTTTTGGCAGTTTAATTACAATGTGTCTCACTGTGAGTCTGAGTTTGTCCTCCTTGATGTTTGTTCAGCTTCTTGGATGTATAGATTTTTATCTTTCATCAGTTTTGGCATGTTTTTGCCTCCTATTTCTTCAAATATTCTTTCTGCCCCTTTTATTCTCTGTTCACTTTCTAGGAGTCCTATAGTGTATTTTCTTGTCCACTTGATAGTGCCCCACATGTCTCTTAGACTCTATTCACTCTTTAAGTTTTATATCTTTAATGATATTCTCACTTTGTATATCATATTCCTGATGATTTTAGTTCTCTGTGTTTTCCTTTAGCTCTTTCAGCATATTTTAAAAAGTTATTGTTGGGGCGCCTGGGTGGCTCAGTCGCTTAAGCCTCTGACTTTGGCTCAGGTCATGATCACGTGGTTCGTGGGTTCGAGTCCCACATCGGGCTCTGTGCTGACGGTTAGCCCAGTGCCTGGCGCCTGATTCAGATTCTGTATCTCCCTCTCTCTCTAGCCCTCCCGTCTCACGCTCGCTTGCTCTCTCTCTCTCAGAATTAAATAAAACATTTAAAAAAAGTTATTGTTTTGAGGTCTTTGGTAAATCTAATATGTGGACATCCTCAAGGACAGTTTCTGACAATTAATTTTGTTCCTTTGGACAGTACTTTCCTGTTTCTTCATATACATTGTGATTTTTGTTGTTGAAAAGTGAATATTTGAATATTATAAGGTGGTACCTCTGGAAATTAGATTTTCTCCAACAGGATTTTCTTTCCCCCCACCTATTTTATTTATTTATTTTTTAAAATAGTTTATTGTCAAGTTGGTTTCCATATAACACCCAGTGCCCATCCCCTCAAATGTCCTCTCCCATGCCCATCACCCCCCTTCCCCTCCCCTCCATACCCATCAGCCCTCAGTTTGTTCTCAGCATTCAAGAGTCTCACATGGTTTGCCTCCCTCCCTCTCCCCCACTGTTTTTCTCCTTCTTCTCCCCCCTGGTTCTCCGTTAAGTTCCTCCTAATCCTCCTATACGTGCAAACATATGGTATTTGTCCTTCTCTGCCTGACTTATTTCGCTCAGCATAACACCCTCAAGGTCCATCCATGTTGCTACACATGGCCAGATTTCATTTTTTCTCATTGCCATGTAGTATTCCATGGTATAGATAAACCACATCTTCTTGATCCATTCGTCCGTTGATGGACACTTAGGCTCTTTCCATGTTTTGGCTATTGTTGAGAGTGCTACTATGAACATTGGAGTCCATGTGCCCCTATGCATCAGCACTCCTGTATCTCTTGGGTAAATTCCTAGCAGCGCTATTGCTGGGTCATAGGGGAGTTCTAGTGTTAATTTTTTAAGGAACCTCCACACTGTTTTCCAGAGGGGCTGCACCAGTTTACATTCCCACTCAGATGGCAGGAGGGTGCCTGTTTCTCCACATCCTTGCCAGTATCTAGATTCTCCTGATTTGTTCATTTTAATGACTCTGACCGGTGTGAGGTGGTATCTCAGTGTGGTTTTGATTTGTATTTCCCTGATGCAGAGGGATACTGTGCATCGTTTCATGTGTTTGTTGGCCATCTGGATGTCCACTTTGGAGAAGTGTCTATTCATGTCTTCTGCCCATTTCTTCACTGGATTATTTGTTTTTCAGGTGTGGAGTTTGGTGAGATTCTTATAGATTTTGGATACTAGCCCTTTATCTGATATGTCATTTGCAACTATCTTTTCCCATTCTGTCGGTTGCCTGTTAGTTTTATGGATTGTTTCCTTTGCCGTGCAGAAGCCTTTAATATTGATGAGGTCCCAATAGTTCATTTTTGCTCTGGATTCCCTTGCCTTTGGGGATGTGTCAAGTAAGAAATTGCTGTGGTGGAGGTCAAGGAGGTTGTTTCCTGCTTTCTCCTCTAGGGTTTTGATGTTATGGGTCTGTTTAGGTTTTCTATCTCTTCCCGTGTGAATTTTGGCAGTGAGCGTGTGTTTAGGAATTTGTCCATTTCTTCTAAGTTGTCCAGTTTGTTGGCATATAGTTTTTCATAGTATTCCCTGATAATTGCTTATATTTTTGAGAGATTGGTTATAATCAATCTTTTTTCATTCATGATTTTGTCTTTTTGAGTGCTCTCTCTTTTCTTTTTGTGAAGCCTGGCTAGAGGTTTGTCAATTTTGTTTATTTTTTCAAAAAACCAACTCTTGGTTTCATTGATCTGTTCAACTGTTTCTTTGGTTTCTATGTTGTTTATTTCTGCCCTGATTTTTATTATTTCTCTTCTTCTACGGGGATTGGGGTGTTCTTGTTGCTCTCCCTCTAGTTGCTTTAGGTGCGCTGTTAGAATTTGCACTTGCACTTTTTCTAATTTTTTGAAATAGGCCTGGAGTGCAATGTACTTTCCTCTTAGGACTTCTTTCGCCGCATCCCATAGATTTTGGATTGTTGTATTCTCATTGAGAAAATGTTTTCCAAACTGTCCAGGGCTGCTATTTTGGGAGAATAGAAAAAGAAGGCATACATGAAGTGGTACCAAGAGTATTAACCCTAGAGGTTTTTGGCATTTGTATCCTTGGATTGGAATCACATTTCCACTGTTTAATAGTTGTATGATTTTGGACAAATTGCTCAATCTCTCTGACTCTCTGCTTCCTTATCTGAAAATTTATTTCTTAATATACAAAGTAAATCACAAAATACATAATATAGCAAATAAGATGGCTAGGAACTCAGGTTTTGCTAGCATGAAGTCAAATGGACTGGAATTCAAATCTTGGCTCTTTCACTTATGATTTGTTTGACCTTGAGGAAGTTACTTAATCTTTCTGAGCTTCATTTTCTTAACTGGAACTAACAGTGGTTCCTATTACAATGTGGTTAGGAAGAGTAAATTAGAGAATGCTTGTAAGCCATTTAGCTTAGTGCTTTATACATTTTAGTGTATTTAGTCTTGATAATTTTTATATTAATATGGATGGAACTTGCCTAACATGTATTTGTAATTTAGTAAATATTTAAAGTTGAGAAGAGGTGGTCATTTGTGGTTTCTTTGTAGACAAATAGTTTATTTCTAAACTTATATATCTCAATTATGACCTCCTTTGACTCTGGCTACCTCTAGCATGGGTTTTAGAGTCCTTTTTGCTTTTAACTGTGGACTAAGATTTTTCTGGTGGAAAGTACCAGTTGTCGTCACCAAACTCGCCCTCTTGTTTAGACCCTAGAAGAGATATTTTTTCCCTTCAACTGGTCTCCTTGCCAAGAAAGATAGCTGTCTGAGTAAGTCTCCTGAGAGCAGTAGCTCTTAACCTTCATTGTGCATTGAAATCAGGAAAGGAATTTAAATAAAAGCCTGGGATCTGGAACTAGAAATTCTGATTTAATTGATCAGGGATGCAGCCTAGGCACTGGAAAATTTAAAACTCCCAAGTAATTCTAATGCATATACAGGGTTGAGAACCATTTCCCTAAAGCATCATTTGTCAGAACCTTCATTGACTCCATTATGAGCTCAATAAATATGGACATCTGAGTCTGGTGTTCAAGTACCTCCATGACCAGGCCTGTCCTAGTCAGCTTTTCTGACTGCTATGTTTCCATTACTTTCCAATGTGAACTTGCTCTTGTTAATCTAAAAGATATATTACTGTTTGAAAGTGTATTTAGGACTAAGTTTAATAAAACTTTGCTATAATAATATACAAGAGAATAAAATGCAGTCTATGGTAGTTTATTTTATAAGGCTTGGAGAGTAAGGAATAATTCTTATTTTAGTTATAATAATAACTCAATAAGAGCGGGCACTATTATATTCTAGGTGCTATATTAAGTATTTTTTATAATATTAACTTAATCTTCAAAACAATTTTATATGGTAGATAAAATTATCCTTATTCTGTAGATAAGGAAACTGAGGCAAAGAGAAGTTAGTGAGTTTGCTTTGAAGTTAAAAAGCCTGTAATGGGTAGAGCTGGTACCCAGGCAGGCTATTTCCAGAGTCTGTGCTTTTAAACATTACATTTTACTACCTTTCTAATGAGAGCCTAAATATGGTATAAGGGAAGTCCACTAAGTGAAAGTTGAGCCTCTGGCAGAGTGGTGGAGTGGGATTTGTTCCTGCATATTGTCCTGCATATTGTCATGTCTGGAACTACCCTGTGTACTATGGTAGGCACTGACCACATGTGGCTACTGAGCAGTTGAAATGTGGCCAGTCGGAATTGAGATGTATTATAAATGTAAAAGATATACTGGATTTCAAAGACTTAATATGGTAAAATAGAATATTTAATTTTTACATCTATAGATGTAGAATGTCATGTTTTATATTGATTACATGTTGAAATTATAACATTTTGCATAAATTGAGTAAAATAAAATTATTAAAATTCATTTCTTTTTACCTTTTTTTTCTACATCAGATGGGTAATGTGCTGACGTCGTAACAGGGTTTAAGGGTGGCACATGTCACACAGCAGTGTGAACACCCAATCATCACTCTTATGAACTACAAAAGGATCTTCTTTTTACCTTTTTAGTGTGATTACTAGAAAATTTAAAGTTATATACATGGCTTGTACTTGTGGCATACATCATTTTTTATTGGACAGCACTGATATAGAAAGTATTTTCATGGAAGAGTTCATTTTAGTCCTTATGGTCCTTATGACAAAATCATAAAGCAACAAAACACATTTTTATCCTCTTTTTAAATTTTTTAAAGGTGAGGAAACTGAGGCTTATACAGATTTATTAATTGACTAAGGGTACACATTTGGGAGATGCTGGTGATGGAACTTAAATGAAGGTCATATTTCCAGTCCTGTATACTAAATGCTGTTTGAATTCCATTTTATGTCATAATTTTTCATTATGCAACTCTTTATTTTTGTTTCGTTTTGTTTTGCTTTTTAAAGTTTATTAGTTTTTTTGTTTTTTTTTTTGAGAGAGAGAGATTGAGCATGAACAGGAGAGAGGCAGAGAGAGAAGGAGAGAAAGAGAATCCCAGGTAGGCTTTGCACTATCAGCGTGGAGCCTGACAAGGGGCTTGAACCCATGAACCGTGAGATCATGACCTGAGCCAAAATCAAGAGTTGGTGTCTTAACTGACTGAGCTGCTCAGGTGCACCTCATTACGCAACTCTTTAGTGTATTATGGGATGTACTTGTTTGGATCTTGCGAACTTTGTTACTGTTCACAATTTCAATTGGCTTTCAAGAGTCTAAAAAATTACTGTTGTATTTGGTAGGCAACAATGTTTTAACCTGCAGTATTAGACTTTCTTGTATCTCCACCATCTTATCAAACCAGAGTTTAATTGAGAATGAGTTTTTCATATACATTTTTTACTTGTGTCCAACAACGCAACAAGCTCTATTATAAAGTTGCATCCAGATCTCTGCTGTGTGAACTTTATTCCAGTAATGAGAACTCATGTCTGAGCCTTAGTTTTCTCATTTGTAAAATAAGATATCAACTTCCACATAGAGTTGTTAGGATGATATGAGATAAGATAAAGTACCCAGGGCCGTACCTAATACTTAATAGGAAACCAGCTAATAGCTGTTTCTTTCCTCCCTTCAGATGGGTCACCAATAAGAAACCTTTCACAAGCACCCTAGGCCAAGTTCATTATTCCTTCTTAGGTTATTACCACAAAACAACTCTATTATAGTCCTGATTTAATTCAGGATTGTGGTGGTTTCTGTTCTGCTTTTCTCTATTTATGTATTGCAAACTTCCCAATGGCCAGGATCACATTTTATTCATCTTGTATCACTATAGCTTCTGGCACTGTGCTAAGCCTAGAATAGGCTAGTGTAGCTAGAAAGATTTCCCTTTGTTTCTCCATTTCAAGAGGAAGCTTCTCTAGTCATAGTTATGTAAAATGTAAAATACTTCAGGATCTGTAAGTAAAGGAGTTCTGTGGAGCTTGAACATATGCAGGCTGAATAATATGCAGGCAAATCATTCTACTCCTCAAATTCTCCAGCCCCATGGTACAGACTTATGACCATCCTCTTGGGCCCAACAGTTCTGTGTGGAGAAAGAGTCTGGTCGTTTATGACAGTTCCCTCAAATGTGCCTAGGGTATGTGTGCCCATGTTATTTGAAGGAGTGTTTGGTCTAGAGGTATGGAATATTAGGGATAAGGACAGCTGTAAGGTCACACAGACAGTAAAAACAGTGTGGCCAGAATTTGAACTACAAAGCCAGTGTTCTTTTTATCTTGAGATAAAAGATACTGACCAACATTGCCTTGTCCAGAGGCATTATTAATGGCTGAAATCATTGTAATGCTGTTTTGTCAGAGGAGATACTGAGTTTGTATAAGTAATTATAAATTCAAAAATTATATTTGTGAGGGGTGCCTGGGTGGCTCAGTTGGTTGAGTGTCCAACTTTGGCTCAGGCCATGATCTCACAGCTTGTGAGTTCGAGCCCCTCGTCAGGGTCTGTGCTGACAGCTCAGAGCCTGGAGCCTGCTTCAGATTCTATCTCCCTGTCTCTCTCTGCATCTCTCCCACTCACTCTGCCTCTCTCTCAAAAATAAATAAAAACTTTAAAAAAGGTTTTAAAAAATGGAAATTTGCCTTTACAAAAGTATATTTCTGAAAAAGAACTCTCATTCTTTGAAATAATGAACTTTTGATAACTTTTTGGAGTTGAACATCCATTTTGCTGAATCTTCATCACTATAATTTGGAATGTTGAATTGATAGCACTGAAAGATCTGGCTGCCGATTTTGCTTCCCTGCTCACTTTTTACAAGATTATATATCAGCCAGAAAACAAAACAAAACAAAACACTTGCTGCGTTCTTTGTTGTATAGCTCAATTAAGTGTATGTTAAAACAATTGTGAACATTGCATTGAAGAAGTTATATAGTGAAAATTATTAGGGTAAAATGGAATCCTATGAAAATTTCATCTAAGGGGGAATGATAAGGAATGATCATTTCTGGCATTATTTGAAGATGCCATGCTTTCATGTTCTAACAAGAGTATAATTTGTTTTTAAGTAGGAAACAAAAAACAACATAAATTTACCTTTTGCATTTTAAATGGGTGAATTTTATGGTATGTGAAATATATCCCCATAAAAGCATTTAAAAAAAACTCCACTTAATCTCCTTGTTATTCTGATTTTTTATGTCTTTCTAATGTGGAAACTTTTCTTTCCCTCTGTCAACAACCTTCTCTTTCCTTATCCCAAAACACTGAGAAGGTCCTCTGCACTTGGATGCTGCTCTTTCCTAGAACTAGTTTGAAAACATACTCTTTCTCTTTAATTTGCATTAAAGCCCTAATTCTGACACTGAAAAGACTTTATGAAAGATTTTGTTCTTTAGTTTCATTAGAACCCCCAATGAATCCTAAGTTGCTTTCCATTCTAGGCCTTGTGTTTATTTTAATAAGGGACTGTTTTCCCATAGCTGAGGTTAATTGTCTAGGCCTTGTCCTCATCTTTCTGCCCGTAAATAGTCACATTGTAATTGTAGCTGTGGTGATACTATTCATTTATGCAGATGTTAAAGCTTAGGAGAAATGTGTGCAAAGCAAGTCACTGGGCTCTGCTGATAAGTTAGTTCTTATGAACAGTAATGTGCTTTGGAGAGGGCTTGTATTTTTTGCGCATTTCTTTTGTTAATTCATATGAAATAAAAAAAAACTATGGGCGCCTCGGTGGCTCAGTCAGTTAAGTGTCCGACTCTTGGTTTTGGCTCAGGTCATGATCACATGGTTCATGAGATGGAGCCTCGTGTTAGCTCTGTGCTGACAGTGACGGAGTCTGCTTGTTATTCTCTCTCTCCCTCGCTTGTATGCATGCCTGCGCTCCCTTCTCTCTCTCTCTCCCTCTATCTCTTCAAAATAAATAAACTTACAAGAAAAAAAAAAAACTTCTAAAGGATTTTTCCAGGAACTAATCTTCTCAACTAAACTAAATCTTCTTAACAGGGAAGACTTTTAGGAATGAAGTGGATATTCTGTGGGAAATTTTATAAAGTTTAAAACTGTTAAGCAGATTTTACCTTAAGGTCTGGATGGCTCAGTCAGTTAAGTGGCTGGCTCTTGATTTCAGCTCAGGTCATGATCTCACAGTTTGTGAGTTCAAGCCCCAAGTCGGGCTCCTGGCTGACAGCGCGGAGCCTCCTTAGGATTTTGTCCTTCCCTCTCTCTGCCCTTCCCCTGTTGTTTCTCTCAAAATAAATAAATAAACTTAAAAAAAAGAGTGTTTTACTCAGTGGATACCATGAGGCTAATGTGAAGTCCTGTGCTAGACCTAGGGGATAGAGAGATGAAGTAGACACAGTGCCAGGCTACAGCTAGCACAAGGCCTAATGGGAGAGAAAAATAGGCATATTTACAACCAGCCATGCTATGGTGACCATGCTTAGTGAACCCAAATTTAGAATATATGCTCTGTATTAAGAGGAATTTCCTTATGTACTTAAGATAACAACAGGATGGGATATTTTAAGTTAGTACTATTCCTTATTTTCTGGGACATTTAGTACTAATAACAGATAAATGAGAATTTTGTAATTCTCACCCTGAACAGTGGTGAGAAGAGAGGGAATAATGCTGCTGACATTCCTGCCTCTCTTTTGCTCCTCCCCTGACATTTTCATGTTGTTGAAATCTGGTTAAGGGAATGCTATAAGAATATCTAATAAATAAAGAAGCCACTGAAAGATAATATGTAAAAGATATGAAAATATGGCAGAGGCAGCCTTACATTTTGGAAACATTTGGCATGTTAAGTGCTCTTTATACCATGAAAATATGATTTGGTCATTCTTTGGTTCTTAAGATCTTTTGTATTTAAACTTTTCTTTTTTGAAATTTAAACTTCTTGGTGTGACATAAAAGACTCTTCACATTTTGTCTTCTACTTAGAAAACTTTTTCAGTTTATTTCCTACTATTCTTCCCTATACTGTCTACTTGCCAATTGTTTGCAGCTCTCAGAATATTTCTAATCTTTTTTTCATATTCAATGTCTTTTTTTCTGCTATTTCCTTTGCTTGGAATTTCCTCATCCCTTCTCACCTGGGTAAATGTCTCTTTATTCTCATAGTCACAACCAAGTATATATTACTTTTTTTATGAAGTCTTTCCTACATCAAAATAGTTGTTCTCTTTGTCTTTGTAGTTCTAGTGCCTGACACAAAATAGATGCTGAGTAAACTTTTTGCATGAGGTTTATTCCCTTTCCCACTATAACAGTAACATCAATATATGCTTGCTAAGATAATTTGGAAAATACTAAAGAGCATGAATAAGAAAGTAACAATCATGAACAGTCCCCAGTAACAATGATGTTTTTTATGTTTTCTGCCAGTCTTTTCTTTTTCTTTAAGCATATCATATATTATGGAGATGGTTTTGATTATTTTGGTAAATGTTTAATAAACTCCCTTTATTATATCTTTTCCATCTCATGTTTCATTATTCCTGTATTTGTTGTTGTTGTTTGTTGTTGTTGTTTTTGCTCTGGTCATGTTCATATAGCTGC